GAATTATGAAACTACTGCAGATTAACTTCAGATGAATAGCTAATCTCTGTTAAAAAAAAAAAGAAGGAAATTTGGTTATTAGAAAGGTGGAACAAGTTAACTGGTTCTCCTGATGGCATGGCATGTGAGCCTGGAGACTGCTCAGACCCGAAGGAGGTGCTCAGTTCATTGTAACGTGTATCTGCGGTGCTGAACTTTTGACAGTATGGTATCAGTGTCTTCCCTGTTTCCTCCTACATATCATGTGTATTTGGGAGCGAAACCACAGATACGAGCACTAATATTAAATGAATTGTCCGTATATATATACACATACTGTCGGGTGCTCTGGGTTGGAGAGGGAGAGATGCTAGTATCTGATGTAGCCTACCTTCTCACAAGGCTTCTGCCGTTAAAGAAAAGCTTTAAAACAAGAGAGAGATCCCAAGGCTGTCCCCTATGCAAATGTTGTCCAGATGCTACGTGATTAAATTGTTTGGCCTCACTGTTCTGTCAGCTCCACCCTTGGCTGTTGAGCTTTTCCCATTAGCGAGTGTTGGTTTGCTGCCCCCTTAAGAGGGTTCTGAAATGAGACCTCTTGGAAGAGAGAAGAGCCTGTGCAGATGCCTCGCTCGGCACAGAAGCCAGGCTGTCATAGAAACTGCGAAAGGCTGGTTGAAAGCTCCTCGGAGGAAGATCTCCACACGCCTCATTTCTGGGAGCTTTGCCTGTGGGCTTCATGTCTGCGAGCTGTGCTGGCTGCGCACTCCCCCTTCATTTACTCGCTGGCAGCAAAGCCCCCGGAGTTGGAAACAAGAGGATGGCCACGTAATTGAGAAATGATGCAACATGACGATAAGCCCCTAACTATTCCTGTGCTCTTATAACAGTTTGTATTTAGTAATAGTGTATATTTTTAATTTTGACTTTGTATATTAAACAAATGAGTCTTCAGGTAATTATGGACAACTTTCACATTTGCAAATTTTTTTAATATTAAGATGAGATCTGCATGATATTAAAGCATTTATTTCCAAATGCCTGGTTCAACATATGACCTTTGGCTTTAAAAAGTAATTATCCACAGCTGATCTAATATGGGCTCCCTTCTCTTTGCCCCTGTGGAGGATGTGTATGTACTTTCAAGTTTCCATTATCAAATTGCTGGAGGGATATTGCTAGCAGTGATTTATGTGTCTGGTGCACGCTAGTATTTTTGGTCTTTCTTCTAAAATAGATGGAGAAGTTGAAGCTGAATCTTATAAATCAGTATGTGGTAAATGAAGTAGGATTTTAAATAAGAGATTGTGGAAAAATGAGCTGAGCCTTCTTTTTCATAATCATAATCATTAAACTTGGCTATGTCAGAATAGTCTTGCGCGCATTAGGAAAAAATAACTCAAGTATGTGGATCAGTGGCTATAAAACGTGTTGTTGAAATGGGTGGGTAAGGCACCGCGTTTGAAATCGGAAGCATCTTGCTGTAAACCCAAAGGTGAGGGGAAGCCTCCCGGCAGATTGCCAGGAGCCACCTCCAGTTCACTCAGCTGCCAAGGGGTGTGCTGGTCCTCCAGGCTCAGCGAGTCCAAGCTGGCCAGCGTGACACTGCGGCAGTCGATGCCTCGGGTCGAAACCGCTGCCTGGATTTGGGGGTTAGCTCTCCCTCTGAGGGAAGAGGAGGGGGCAGATTGTTTTCTGTTGCCAGGAGCGGTGGGGCGCCGTGCGGGACAGCTGTGTGCAAAGGTTAGGAGTCCTTTTGGTGTTTGGATTTTGGGGTGCTGGCGTGTCAAAGAGGTTCTCTCGAGTAACGTGAGGGAGTCTGTGAGCTGCCCCTCGCCCGGTGGGGCTAGAAGGAGAGCTGGGGCTACTCAAGGCAGGAGGAAGCCAATTTCTGCTGCGTTTGCTGTCCATGTGAAGAGTGATCGTAGAAGAGGAGTACCAGGAGAGAGTCTGATGAGTCTGGATTCAGGAATGATGCAAGTTTCAGGCAGGTCAGAAAAAAATGATTTAGAAAATAAATGAAAACAGGTTTGGTTTTCTTTTTACGTTTTTTTTGGTAGTGCCAGAAAATACACAGGACAGTAGTTGCTCAGTAATCCCACAACTGCACGTAATAGTCCTGGTCATAAAATGACAAAATCAGATCAACCAGTTGGTTTAAAAGAAAGCACGGTGTTTGTGATGGCTGGTAGTTACGACTCTCATTTATGGCTTGTACGTTCGTACCAAATCCTCTCTGTTAGGAAAGAAAGGTTGTTAACGTCACAACTGTTTGGAATGAGTTGTAGACTTCAGATTGCTAGTTGGAATAAAGATGAGAGCACTGTGAACTTCATGTGCTGCTGCTGGTGCTCTGGTATTGTCAGTGTCAGAACCGAAATTCACAACCAGACCTGTTTTATATTAAAGTATAAAAAGCAAAATAACTTTGTTTTATTGAAAATACTCGTTATCCCGTGTGGAAGCAGGGTTTTCTGCTAATGAAGCAAGGTTCAGCGCTGCTACAATTGTGACCTCTAGTGGGAAAAGTCCATTTGTTGTCGTAGCGATTATGCCTCGGGTTGCAAAGTCATTCGTGGAGTGTCGCAATATTCGTTGTGTCTCATGCCGTAGCATTTCCAACACTCATTAATGGTAAAATCCCTTCAAGGCACCACACTATCCATACAAAAACCCCACAATTTCCTCCCAAGAATGCCTCTGAAAAGTCTCTGCAGATTTTTAGAAAAGCTAATTTTCCTAAAGGGATGGTCTCAGGCTTTTGGGAAGAGGCTTGGAAAAATACTTGGTTGCAGAGGCAGATATTTGTTGGAGAAGGTGCCCCTATAAAATGTCCTGTTGTTATCCCACAACAATATGTATTGCAGTGACGGTATTACTTGTGTGCCAATCTGTTGAGACATTTTTAGATACCAGCTCTGAAGGACATTAGGAGAGAAGTTTTATCATGCCATTAAGAAGCAGGCAAGACGATTAGTAAAATATAATCTAGAAAAACAGTCTGAACACGGAGTACGTAATGCAGCAAACGAGAAGTGCATATGGTATTTTTCATATTTGGATGAACACAAAGCTATTTCTAATCTTAAATAACGAAGGCTGCAGGCAGGAAAGCCTCTTCCATCAGCAGGGCTGTCGTCGTCTCCTCTGGCCCGAGCTGCCCCTCACGAGCTTTCCAAGCAGGACCCCGAGAGTCATTTCGGCTCGGCTGCTCCGAAGGAGCCTCGCTCAGGGTCTGTGTTCCCTGCCCTCTGGGAAAACCTCGCGGTCTCGATTGTCGAAAGAGAAGGATGTTAAACAAAAGCAGAGGAGTGGTATTTCTTATTTTTGTATACAAAGCAAGTGGAAAATTAGCTTTTTTTCTCCCCTCTGTACTCAGCTATTGGAGTGGTTTCCACTTTCTTTGGTTTTTAAATAATCGGACATTGTCATTCTATTTTTCACTGATTAGATTTCTGTACGCTTGTATTTCCAGCTTTTGCGAACCAGAAAGCAACTATTTGACACAGAGATCAGTTTGCTTACCTTTGAAATAGTTTTGACTTTTGGCTAATAGCAGGAAAAAAGGTGTATAGTGTGCTTGTGGGGTCCATTTTGTTTTCATTTGGGTTTTTTACAATTTGAACATGAAAGATTATATATGATTAATCATAGCTAAGCTCAGTTACTTGGCAAAAATCCTATCAACTGGAATATTTATGGCATGTTCTTGATGCCCTGCTTGTTAGAATGTTGTGCACTCTTCATGAAAACCAGCGCTGACAGGTACTGAAACGATGGAGGGAGATCCTGTCACATCCATGGCACCTGACAAACTGAGCAGGGAGATTCCAAAGGCTCCAAGGAGCCGTCATCTTCCCCAGACGGGAGTTTGGAAACTGTGCCTTGGGATTTAATGATGAACTTTGAAGTGTAGCAGGGAAGAGGGAAGCGTTCCCTAGAGATCTGCAGCATCTAGTTATGATGCTACGTAGCGAGAAGTCATAGAGAGGAGAGATTCATATGCTGGGACTGATTGAAGTCTTTTTCTTCTTATTTTCAGGGTATGAACATAATCTTCCACGTAGCCTTGGCTCTCTTAAAGGTAAGTCATTGATTAGAAGGGGTTTTTTTAAATTTTGTGAAATTGTGTGGAATATTTTCTTTGCTTAATGTATCATGTCTACGGGAACAATAAGAGTGGGACTTCTGGAGGAGGGAACGGAGGAGAAATATCATCCATTTAGACAGAGATGCCTTCAAAATTGTACTTACAGTAGATCTGTTTTTATTAAAATTAATCATGCCATAAAGTTCCTGGAACAAGGAGTGCAGTCTAAGGTTGTAAATGTCTCATGTAATTACTATTAAGAAAGAATTCTGATTTGTTTCACCTTTTATTTAGTTTGTAACTGGGTTCTTTCATATAAATATTCAAGAAAGGTGATTGAATATCATTTGGTATTAAATGTATTTGTAATGTCAAGAGAGGAATGGAAGTCTTCTATAATATGGGGAACTTCTGGCTTAGACACAGAATTTACCCAAACAACCAAACAAGTAAACACCTGTAGGTCAAGCGTTGCCCCTTTTGATGCCAGTGAGGTAGCTGGACGTTAACTTACACTAACCTTCATGGGTTGGCTCTAGTTCAAATCCAGTCCACGGACAGGCACCTGGGATGGGATTTGTAACGCCACCTTTGAATTCAAGCGACATTCCCATCCAGTCATTTCGGCTAAAGCTCCGGGTGGAGCAGCCCATCCCTCCTGACGCAGCTGCCCCGCGACAGGGACGCAGGCTGGGGTCGTTTGGCTGTTGCTAGTCCTCTGGTGTGTGCTGGTCATGGACCTGGAAAGGGCAAACAGCTACCAGTTGAGCTGTTCAGTAGAGAGCAGTTCTCAGAGCCTCAGCTTCTGTGGCACAAAGTCCTACAGCAAAAACGCTCCGTGCCAGGAATATGTATGTGTGTGTATATATATATATATTTATATCTGCTGCTGCTGTGAGCAGAACAGTTGGCGATTTCAAAACACACCTATTTTCACCTGAGGCTGGGTAACTTGGGTGAAGTACTGCAGTGTAGCGATGAGATAGCATGTGGCATTATGGTAAGGAAATGTCCCAAATAACTGGTGTTTTACTCTAACACAATTAATGTGTCAAATGGTGTTGTGACTTTCTACTTGAGTATATGTATTAAATGAAGTTGCCTGTGAACAGGGGGTTTGTTTAATGTACGTTTCCAGGGAAGTGCTCCTACACAAATCTAAATACGTAAAAAGGGAGGAGGGAAGTATGTGCTCTTGTCTTCCTGCCTCATATTTGATTTGCAACAATGGAGGCTTGTTAATTTTCTGGTTTTTAAGGCCAGTGTGGTAAAGGGAAACCTAGTATGTTATGGCACGATAGATAGTAGAAGAAGTGAAAGCAAGCAAGAGTTACCAGCTTAGAGTCATAGAACAGTCTGGGTTGGAAGGGACCTTTAAAGGCCATCTTGTCCAACCCCCCTGCCGGTTGACATTGTCACCTGGATGAGGTTGCTCAGAGCCCCATCCAACCTGACCTGGAATGTTTCCAGGGATGGGGCATCGACTACCTCTCTAGGCAACCTTGGCCAGCGTCACCACCCTCAGAGTAAAGATTTTCTTCCTTCTCCCCAGTCTAAATCTCCCCTCTTTCAGTTTAAAGCCGTCACCCCTTGCCCTATCGCTACAGGCCCTGCTAAAAAGCCTGTCCCTATCTTTCTCATAATCCTCCTTCCAGGCACTGGCAGCTGCTCTAAGGTCTCCCCGCAGCCTTCTCCTCTCCAGGCTGAACAGCCCCAGCTCTCCCAGCCTGTCCTCCCAGCAGAGGGGTTTCAGCCCTCACATCATTGCTGATCCAACAGCTCCCGCTCTGCCCTGTGCTGAGGGCTCCAGAGCTGGATGCAGGACTCCTGGGGGTGTCTCAGCAGAGCGGGGCAGAGGGGCAGAATCTCCTCCCTCGCCCTGTGCCCACACTGCTGGGGATGCAGCCCAGGACACGGTTGGCTTTCTGGACTGCGAGCGCACACTGCCGGCTCATGTCCAGCTTTTCCTTCACCAGCACCCCCAAGTCCTCCTTGGCAGGGCTGCTCTCCATCCATCCATCCCCCAGCCTGTGTTGATACCGGGGGTTGCCCTGGCCCAGGAGGAGGACCCTGCACTTGGCCTTGTTGAACGTCTGGAAGTTCACACATGCCCAGTTCTCGAGCTTGTCCAGGTCCCTCTGGTGGCATCCTGTCCCTCGGGCTTGTTGACTGCAGCACACAGCTTGGTGTCATCAACAAACTTGCTGAGGGTGCGCTCGATCCTGCTGTCTGTGTCATTGATGAAGACATTAAACAGTACTGGTCCCAGTACAGACCCCTGAGGGACACCGCTTGTCACCGATCTCCATCTGGACGTTGAGCCATTGACCACTTACCCTCTGGCTGTGTCCATCCAGCCAATTCCTCATCCACTGAACAGTCTACCCATCAAATCTGTGTCTCTCCAGTTTGGAGAGATGTATCTTAAAACTGAAGAAGAAGAAAGAAAAGGAGGAGTACTTGCAGTGAGCTCAAAATGGCTGGCAGGGTTTTCAGGAAAGGAGAACTTCGTTCAATTTGGTTATGAAGGATGGCTCTGAGACCATGGGTGTACACCCAGCAGTCTGTTCTCCTGAGGTTTCCTGCTGCTGCTGGTGGGAATGGTTGCACTGAGGTTAGCAGCGGAACAACTCTCCAGAGAATATGGTAACGGTGAAAGGACTAAAATCCTTAGCTCATGGATGTCAAACTGCAAACAAGGAAATTTTTTGTGTTGAATAATTACCCCAATTTCTTTTAAGAGAAAGTGCTCAGTCTTTTCATTTTATGTATATTCCATCACATGCTGCTTATCCAATCAACCATTTATCTTTGGCTGTTCCAGAAGAGGAAAATTCAAGAAAGTATTTTTGCAGTCTTTCTATAACTATTTTCTAAGTTTAAGAGTTTTAAGAGTTGCTTTTAATTCTGCTTATAGCAGTTCCTCATATATATATATATATGTATATGTATATGCAGTATGCTTTATCTGCCTGTTCTGGCAGTAATGGGCTCTGAACACCTACGGAGGTGTCATCCTGAGGAAGTCTTTCTACATTGTAGCCAAAAACAAGTACAGGGAAAATATGGGTAAGTGAAATAAGAACCCAAATCAGAAACGCTCCCATAAGAGCACAGTTCCGCTGTGGTACCAGGATGGAGCTGGTGGTTATATACCATTGAATTAGCGTATGATTTGCTCTCAGCAGGGCTGTTGTGTTAGGGAAGAAAAGAATTTTGTACTCAGAGACCTGAAGTAGTTTTTCTCCTGTTCAGATGTGTTCATAATCTCTCATAATCATTAGAAACAAAGTAGTTTAGCCTACCGGTCTTTTTAAGCTACAGAAGCTGCAGAACAACCGCTTTAAAAGCTGTGTGTTTCGAAGGTCTTGTTTCTCTCTGATTCTGAAGCGAAGGGAAACGACTCCTAAGGATTTGTGCTTTGTTAAAACACGGTGATTATTCTCTCATCCACAATCTTTGGGCTTATTTTTAATTTGGACCAGGGAATCCTTCATCAGTGGAATATCAGAGTCTTTATTGTGTAAATGCCATTTTCCTCACTCTGTTGTGAAGCGTGTGCCTCATAATCCCTCATTAAATAGCAGCAGAACAGAAGCCTGTGTCTCGAGCTGCCATTTACTCGGTGCAGTTCCTCGCTGTTACAGCCAGCTGCTGGTATTCAAAGTGAATGCTTGTTAGTTTCGAAATGACAGTACTACTTCTGTGGCCAATTACCCGAGACATCTCGATGCAGTAATCTTCTGAAAATAACCATGTATTTAAGACATGAGGGGAATCCTTTCCCCTTCCCTTCTCCCACATTCCAAGTACGATTGTAGCAGCAAACGCCTAGAGGATTAAAGCTCCCTAGCCATGGAGGCCATAATTTGTAACAGGGCATTAATCTGGTTTCTTGTTGAAGGAAAAGCATCTCTTTTTCTCTGTAGCATCCAAACGCTGTGCTTTGAGGCCTGTCCATGCGGTTTGCCTGCTCCTCTGGCAGGCTCCCCAGCTGGTGGCACTGTCTGACAGCCTGACATGGATCACTGGGCTACGTCAGGTAGCACCGCACCTGCGTTAGCACTCAGTGAGCGGAGCTGGTGGAAAATCAGGTCCCTCTCCTTTCATTTGCTGAGCATCAGAAAATAGAGTGAAGCACTGCAGTGTGAAAAGAACTCCAGTGTTGAAAAAGGCAGTGCAGAAAACTGTGGTTTAGAAGAACTCAACCAACAACATCGTTATTTCCATTTTAAAAATCCCAATTAAGGCCATTAATTGAGAATCACAGAATCACAGAATGGTAGGGGTTGGAAGGGACCTCTGTGGGTCATCTAGTCCAACCCT